AATCAACGCATTTCTCAGTGAAGAAATGGAATTTTGATAATTTGAAACAGGGAGAGAGAGAGAGAGAGATGCTGTAGAAAGATATAAACCCCCCAAACCCTCGCAGGCTATGCATCACAAAACGCACCGTTTCGATGGTTGGTCCATAAATACACCGATTTGATTGTCGGGCGACCCGGATAGGCCTTGACCACGTCCTGGGCCTTGAACTGTACAGCTTGATGGGCCCGGGGCCCGGGGCCCGGGACCCGAGACCCGAGACCCGAGACCTGGGTCAAATGGGCAGAACCGTAGAAGTCAAAAAAGGCAAAAGGTAGAGACCGCTGTCGTCCACTACATCCAACCTCAAAAGCAGTTACTAAAAACACAGTCCGAGTGATCAGTTCACCATTTCAGCTCAGCTCAGATTTCGGGTATCCAAATTGACCCGATTCCATCGACCTGAAAACCATGCTGGCTTGATCGGGTTCAGGTTCGCGAACCTCGAAAACCGTTCAATTTCTTACTGAAAACTATGTTCAATGGCGTCAACATCTTCAGGTACTTTTCTGTTTCTTTTGGGTATTTTTTTTTTCCGTTATTTGCTTGTATATCTGTAATTATCTGCTGTTTGGTGGCTGAGAAAGTGTGGGAAAATACAGGTAAAAAGGTGCAACTTGTTATTGGTAGTTAAAGTTCTCCTTTTCTTTTCATTTTTCTAAGATTAAAACAAATGTGAAATTTCAGATTTGTTAATGGATTTGGTTCCTTTACTTTTCCTTCCTTTCTTGATTCCCAAAAGGTGGGTAAAAGATTAAATTTTCAATTGGTGTTGTGAGCTGTCATGAGTTCTTTTAGCTTCCGTTCTCTCTGGATTTTCAGTTTTCTAGCTTCCTTTTTTATTTTTATTTTTATTTATAAAAATTATATATATATATATATATATATAAAATTTTCAATTTTTGGGGTATATCATTGGCTTCTTGTCAGAGAAATGAAAATGTATGGTGGTATGCTTGAGTTCTTTGGTTTCTGAAGAATGGAAGAACATGGTCACGCTACTAGACACACCAACCAGTATTAGGCCTATTTGCGAGTGCAAGTTTGTATCTATTTGGGTTTGTGATTATGAATTCTGTAACAGGTGGATTATGTATATATATTCTAAGAAAATTATTCATCCAAAAAAAACAAAATTATATTGGTAGTACATTTATATCTTTTTATCTGCACTCGATATGAGTTAATGACTTTTCCTTGTGTATTTGCTGATCTTGATGGTTTCATAGGTATTGCTACATTGGCACGAGCAATTTTTGGGCCTATCACCAACTAAAGTACCATTTACTTATGTAAATCTCAATGGTACCCGAGGGCTTTGGGAGTTATGGACTGTTTTCAGACTGTTGTTCATCATAAGTGTAAGTTTGTATTTATTATAGCTAGCTTGCATAGGGTTTCTATAGTAGGAAGAGGCAAAAAGATGGGTGTTGTGAATTCATAGTACTTAATATGTGGTGATACATCAAGGTCCCGTTCCCTAGTGTTGTGCTGTTATGACTGCAGGATGGGTATCAATTAGGTATCCCTTAAGTTGATTCTTTTGGTACCTTTTTTCTTTAAACATATCTAAACTTGCAATATATGGGTTCTGTAGTTATATTCCTTGCCATAACTTCTGAAGACAGGCTTATATGTGGCTGCAGGTTATTTGTGCTGTCAGTTGTTATTCTTTATCTGGTTATCCAGTTTTCAAGATGTCGTGGCAGTGCAGACAGTATTTAACCGAAGTCATGTTTCTTCAATGGCAGAGCTAGGCCTGGCTAATCCACCTACTACTGGGTTTTTTGATCCCATAGAAATATCACCAGCTGTTATTCCACATTACCCAAATCCTGCAGATGAACCTTTGGCACCAATGTACCCAACTTTTCCGACAAGATATGAGCCTGTTTTAACTGGGAAATGTCCTGTAAATTTCTCTACTATATCAAGTGTAATGGAAAAAACCGCATCTGATTGTTCTCAACCCCTAGCAGCACTTGTAGGAAATGTAATATGTTGCCCACAGTTTAGTAGTTTGATCCGTATCTTCCCGGGTCTCGACAGCTTCAAGCCCGATAAGTTGGTTTTGCAAAATTCAGTCGCAAATGATTGTTTTACAGATATCATCAGTATCTTAGCCAGCAGGGGTGCAAACAGTACAATAGCTACACTTTGCTCCATAAATTCATCAAATCTTACAGGTGGGTCCTGTCCAGTGAAGGACATTAGTGCCTTTGATAAAATAGTAAATACAAGTGGATTACTGGAGGCCTGCACAACTGTTGATCCTCTTAAAGAGTGCTGCAGACCAATCTGCCAGCTTGCAATCATGGATGCTGCACGTCAAATCTCAGGAAAACAATTGATGATGAATGAGAACAAAAATTTAGTGGGTGGGCTTAACTACACTGATACTCTAAGTGATTGTAAAGGAGTGGTTTTTACATATCTTTCGAGGAAACTCTCGTCAGATGCTGCGAATACTGCATTTCGAATATTATCTGCCTGCAAAGTTAACAAAGGTACACTATTAAGTTATGTATACACGACCAATTTATTTTAGACTTTAGGAACTGCGGTTTGAGCATCTAATTTCGTGTTAAGTTTTTTGTCTTGCCTATTGGTGGGAAATGAATAAATGAGGAATACAAAAGAGCAACGCATGCAGTAAGAAGGTTCCTCCATTTATTGAAATCTGAAATTTTAAGAGCCAAGAAAGAAAAAGAAAAGACAATTTGTTTGAGTCGATGGTTGAAGAAAAAGGAAACTTAAAAAAAAATCAGTATTTGGTACTTTCTTTTCTTTTATGAACCATACTATTAATTTCATGTCTAACCTTTCATGGGCCATGAAGGATTCCCATCTCTAGTATTACCATTGTCGTTTAGTTCTTTATAGTATGAAGTGTTTGAGTTATGTTAATTTTCATAGCCATCTTATAGGGTAACTTAATCATTTGTTCTTTTTCACTAATAATTATTTAACCTAATGTATATGTATACTTTTACAGTGATTAATGTTCGGTGATGGAAAATATCTCAAGAGATATATGCGCTGAATATCATGCCATACTTGTATGAAAATTCTAGATTTTGGTTGTGTTTTGAACAACAGTTTCACAACCTTGATTCACTAATTACCAAATCATGTGCTCTAACGAATTAGTGCTGCATCAAATATATATATTTTTTCCGGTATTGTAATTTTGGTAAATATTCCAGCATTTGTATTATAATTGTTAACTGTAACCCAGGAACTGGAAACTGTTGAACACAAAAATCCACGTCAATTCCTGAGCAACAAGAAATTAAGATGCGCTGGCTTTGTGAACAGAAAAATGATAAACCTTTGTGTTTGTTTACCCACTTTTGCTCTGGAGTTTTTAAGTTTGAGATTTGGCTTGCTTAACTAGTACGTGAACTATTCACATTTTATTTGGTTTGTACAACTTGATGATTACATCTTTAAGTGGTGTATTTTTGGACTTGTCTTGTAGTGTACATCTCTTCTCATGAAAATGATTCTCACTTGTGCAGTTTGTCCTTTGGATTTTAAGCAGCCTTCAGAAGTAGTTCAAGCATGTCGCAATGTTGCTGCCCCTAGTCCTTCCTGCTGTAGCTCATTAAACACTTACATCTCTGGAATACAAAAGCAAATGTTGATTACAAATAAACAAGCTATAATCTGTGCTACAGTGTTTGGGTCCATGTTGAGGAAAGGCGGGGTAATGGAAAATGTTTATGAGCTCTGTGATGTTGATTTGAAAGACTTCAGCATTCAAGGTACTGATCCTGCTATGTCATTCAAATTTTCTGCCTCTTTTCCTTACTGTATCTGATCTATTTTTTTTTCTTCTGGATCCCTGTGGGCACTGAAGCAGCATATGGTCAACAAGGTAGGATATGTTCAATTTTTTTTTTCCTGTTTCCTTTATGTATTCATTATATTCATTCCCATGATTTGATATCCAATCTTGTGTAGCATTCTGTATAGCTTTATTCGTTCCAGTAGTTATTTTCCAAGAAATATAAGAATACCTGATGCTTAAAAGCATTGTGTGCTTCATGTGTGACTGAAAATGTATTCTGGGAAATTTTCTTTGGACTGCGTTGTGGATGCTTTATAATAATGTTGGTTACAATGCTAATAGTGTGACTTACTTAAATGGGCGTTAGCTCAGGTGGTTTAACGTATTGCATCCTAAATGTACATATCCCAGGTGTTCTAGAGTGTGGGGTTGGTTTTCATGTTCTCTTGTTTGTACTTGACAGAAATGAAAGGAATTCCCTTGCATGCGAAGTTGGTAATCATTATTCTTATTAAATTGATAACTTTGGTTTTGCTCAAATGCAGGGTGTCTACTTAAAAGCTTGCCTTCAGATGTGATTTTTGACAATGTAACAGGCATCAGCTTTATATGTGATTTGAGCGACAACATTGCAGCACCGTGGCCTTCGTCTTCCTCAATTTCATCGGTGTCCCTTTGTGCGCCTGGTAACTGATTGGTCAAAGCATAACTGTTGTTGCCATTTTTCTTAATAATATCTACTATATGACAGATACTACAGAGATTATATTTATAGAATATTTACCGTTTTATGTGAAGTCCATGACCTCATGGCTACTACTATTGTTTTGCAGAGATGTCATTGCCTGCACTACCAACGGCGGAGACTTTTAAAAATCTTGGTGTGTACCACTAGATTCTCTAATTTCTGGCTCTTGTTAGTTTTCTCCGTTTCATTGATTTTAATGTGTTTAACAAAGTCAAAAAGCGAAATGGACAAACGTCATGACATTGGAAAAAAAAAAAAACAAAAGCTGCCCTGTTTTGTGAAGTTAACGCAATGAGGTATTTACAAAATCCGGGGTTCTTTCATAGGAATAAATGTTAGCCAAACCAAGGGAAAATCAATTCGATATTTGGAAGAAGCCTTTTGACTTTGTGAAAATGGAATCAGTGCTAGTTGTTTGACATACTAGAATTCAAATTTATCATTTTTCATTTAATGTACAGACTACAGCTTTGAGTTTCAAGAAAATAGTGTTGTTCAAGCTGGCATTAGTCCTGTGTTGTTTCTTCACAATCTTTTATTTTCTAATGCATTAGCAGTTCCGGAATTCGCATTTCTTTTTTGCCCTTTCTTTAGTACTTTTTCCATCCTAGGTGAAATGTCTAACATTGTAAAGCAATGTTTTGATGCAGGCCGTCGTGGTGGTGAGCTAGAATTTATGTTACCCGTTTTTTCATTGTTTGTTTTGTGTACTTTGTTGTACTGAGGGTTGGGCCGGTTTGAATTAGGGGCTTTTTGAGATTGATGTTGTGTGTGGACTGCCCTGTAGATTTTGAGTAGCCACAATGTATAGCAGTTCTCATTTTATTTTGTCTCTCTCTTCAAACGTGCACACGCACCATGCATGCATGCGAAGCACGTCGATGGAGCTCCTTCTCGTTGTACCGAAATAGAGATCTGATTTATGGACTCAAGTCTAAGCAAAACCTTAACAAAGATCTGTTTTTCTTATTTGTTGGAACAGAAAAGATTGTCTATTGGGTATCAGATCAGGTACTATCGGATCGAGGGCCCAAATTCTTGAGCAATACGTTGAGCAAAATTATGCTGGTTTGACAAGTGATGCCACAAATTAGTCCAATCCACAACCCCTGAAACCATAATATAATGAAGTTAAGAACAAACATCAAATAATGCAACACCAACAAAATAAAACAGAACAAATCAACTTAGCTAACAATGTCTCACTTTAGCATGTAGCTTGGTCTTGAACCCAAGAAGGCCGGAAATAGCCACGCCAACCAGATATGTGGCCAGATTAACATAGCAGGCCAACTTTTGCCACCCGCATCCTGTGACCACACCTGAAAGGAAGAACCCCCAACCCCAAAAATCATTTCTCATGCATGCTCAAGAAAATGAAAACAGGAAAAATGTAACCAGAGTTTAATGGAAAATGTCGATTTGTGTTCTTTTTTACCTAGAACAACACCTTGTAGAGGTTCAACGATCACCGAAACCGCAACGAAAGGTGTCATGGATGCAAATTCTTTTACTATTTCTGGGTTGCCACTGAATAAGCCAGCCCAGAAATTGTGGCCAATTTCCAGTGCCAGACCAAGAACGAAAGCAACAAAGCCAGAGAGCTTAAGAGCCAGAGTCATGGCCCTCTTGGCTTTCTCTGGATTGCCTGCTCCCAGTTCGTTTGAAACTCTCGCGCTGCCACAATGTTATATTTATGTAAACAAATGTAATTATTTTGAACACATAATTGATTGAAAAATTCAATTAATTTGAAGGATAAATAGAGGGTTGTTATTTCACAGACCTGACAGCAGCACTGAGGCCGTATGACACCATATAAGCAATTAACTCCACGTTGACACTATAATTTACATCAAAATAAATAAAACAAAGAAAATATTTATAAAACTTACCACATCCCAAGTAGGGATGTGCTCTGTGTTGGATGTGGAAATGCTCCTGCCATGAACACTAGAATCTCAAAGGTCCACTCTTCTAAGCTGGATAGATTTATACGTAGCAAAAAGATACAAAGTTGATCAGTGCAACAAGTTCTAAAGGTATGCCTGAAAAAAACCTAAAGAATGGACTTATTTGGGCTAAAAGGCTAGGATGATCTTGCTTATGCGTGGAAGGGGATTCTCAAATTTTAATCAATTTGTTAGAGGGTGATCAACATCCCCTCGGCGCTTGTTTTCGCTTGTTATCGATACGCTGTTGGCAGATTTTTCAAGTAATTCAAATTAGTCATGTGTTTCGTGAAGCGAATATGGTAGCAGATGAGTTGGCTAATCTTGATCATCAACTTCATAACCTTTGTATCTGGTTTTGTAATTTTCCAAATAGTGTGGCTCTAAAGCTTAGTTAGGGATCCACAGAGGATCCTCTTTGCATTTGTTGAATGTACTAATGCTCATTTGTGATGAAAGGATCTAAACAATTCTAGATAAATCATGATCTAAAGGATAGAGGAATGCCAGTTTGGAGTTGAAAACAAAATCATGAGTATTAACTTGGAAGAAGATGCTCGGCATCACATAAATAAATATTGCAAGCCCAAGTCGGTGGCTGGTGAATGGCGGCAAGATTCAAACAAAGTGGAGCTACAAAAAGAGCTACCCACTAATGGGGTGTGGTCTAGCCAAGAGAACTCCCTACCTAAGCTACTAAGGGAGCCAAGAGCTGACCCATCAACCTGGTTGATGGGTGGGAGTCATAAATTTAGAAGATAGGTAGCCAAAAGAGCGGAACTAGGAATTTTTCAACACGTGGGCTAGCTAAAGTGTTTAGGGTAATCTAATGAATTATTTTTTTCTTTTGTACTTACAGTTTCTATAGCCTTTCTAGAAATAAAAGTATATATTAAATCATATAAACCACACTAATTCATAGCTTCATTAACTAATTTCCAATAAATTTTAACATAAAACAAATACACATTAAATGCAACAAGAAAACTGATATTATCAAAATAAAAATGTGTTCAACAACGAAATTGAAAGTATACCTATTTTACTATGTATTTTTATTACTTCCATGCAACTAAATTCATAGAGAAATTGTATTTTTTGAACTTTAATACATACTGAGCTATATTTAAAACAAGTCAAATATAGGTATGATTTTTTTTCCACCCAAAAGCATCCATGGGCGACATACCAGATTAGCCTTTAACTTGGTTCCGCCACGGTCAATAGCTACACCACTAGGAGGCCAATTAGCTACACTAAACTATGTACTATTCTCCTCCTATCTAATAAAATCACTTTGTTTCATACGTGTCCTATTTTTCCTAAACCCCTTCACACACAACCCAACAACAGTATCAGAGCAGTACACTCTAAACTCCAACAGTATTAAAAAAGAAAAACTTATACCATTCCACTGCTGCACCAGGGAGGCCAAGCCTCAAAACAGCAGGGACATGACTGAGTGATGCCAAGGAGAAACCTTCCCATGTAGACTCAAATTTCTTTGAACGAAGAACGTAGACGGCGAACATAAGAAGAGAGAAGCAGAGGGAGATGGATGCTGCAAGTGGAACAGCTCTGAAGCCCAGAGGAGTGAAGTGGACAAGAGAATAGGTGAGGCCTATGTGAAGGGCAAGGCTGATGAAGGAGAATATGAAAGGGACGACAACAGCAGACTGAGTTTGAAGAAATCTCTGAACGTTTTGGAGGATTCCAATCGCAACCAACCCAGGAATGAACAACTTCACAAAGACCGCCAAGAGTTTTGAGGCCTCTGGGTCTTGGTGTAGCAACGAAACCAAAACTGGCTCCGAAAAGAACCAAAGTGAGGAAATAAGCAAGGAAGCTAGCAAGGATATTAGGCACGAGGCTTGCAGGTACTGGCCTAACATGCCATACTGCTTTGCACCAAAGGCTTGCCCACAAAGGGTCTCAAGAGATATTGTATTATCAATTCTTCAATACATAATCCAAGAAATTAAATTATGGTCAAGTGTAAAATTACCATTAAACTAATTCGCAATGCAAACGAAAATGCAAAAGAAATGAGTGAGTGAGCACATTATAACATAAACATAAACATAAATTATATTCTTACTATTATTGAAACACACACACACACACACACACACACACACACACATATATAACTGGAGAAATTAATTATGCGTAGTAATATTATTACCACAACAGCAAGGCCGGTGGCATTAGCCCATGAAATGGCTAGGTTTGCAGCAGCTAGTTGAAGCTGACCAAGGTGGCCAGCAAACATCACAGACACCAAAATGATGAAGTTAAACATCACATTGGTAAGAGTTGTTGGCAGTGAAAACAAGACCTGCTTCTTGGCCTCGCCCACGTCCAAAAATTTCATGGTTCTTAGACTTTGGTTAAGAAGATTACAGAGAGGCAGAAGAAGAAGAAGAAAAAGAAGCAGCAGTTGTGGCATAAATAAGCAACTTAATTGCCTTACACATATATAGGAAGTTCCCAAGTTGGGACCGGTTTTTTCCCAATTTTTTTTTTTGGTCTGAACCACGAGGTGGTCCTGGATGGGCTCCAACTATGGATGGCACCTTTAAGCCTTAACCACAACCCAGACTAATCCCCGTTCACACCGGGTCGGCCCGTAAGGAGTAAAGTGCTGGCCAAAGTGGTGACTCCATACGAGAGCAGGGATCGGGTTTTTTCCCAATTTGATTTAGTAACCTGAATGGCAGAATGGCATTTGGTTTCTTAAGAAAAATGACTAATATAGGACGTGTCAATTTAGTAGCCTTATATCAGTAGAAGAGTGAAGTGGCAAGCTACAATTAAAACCTAATCAGATCCAAACATACAATACACAAACAGAGGATCCGCATCCGATACATAATGTTCAAGAAAAAATAACTCTCAAACACATGGAGAAATAAATTCTGAAACCCCGGATTTAAAATTCTAATTAGTATAGGGAAGAATCAAGAACATGAGAGGAAAATCATTATCTGATTTGTTATTCTTCTCCTTCTTGGAGGAATTTACACAAGGAAAAATGTGCAAAGCTTGGAAATAAACTCAAATGATAGCCTAGTTATTATGAGCAATATCACTCTGAGAAACCTTGCCACCACAGAAAGTATCTGCTTATGCTTAATTTGAAGGGTTAGCCCAGTGACTTAAATTGTTATTTGGTAGTAGTCTTTTAGCAATTGTCTATCTCGGTTGCAAGAGCAAGCAGTGAACTTAAGGTTTGCTTTGGCTGTTCTCTCTTCAACATCGGTGATTTTCCAAATTTCAAAGCTTGTGCCACTAGAATAGTCGTTTCACAACTGCCTGTCTCAGTTAGGACCCTGTTTTACTTTCTACTGGACTCTAAACATCCAAGATACTCTAATTTTAAGCTTTCACAACTTACGAACCCATTTTTCTAGTCGAAGCTGCTTCAAAGAGGGTCCTATATTTGGCTTACTTTTCTGAGGACACTTCCATTTTCCAGTGATCTCCATCGCAGGAGAATGATGAAAATTTGTTGCATCTGCTAAGGGCTTTCTTTTCACTACTGCATCCCTTCCACCTGCTAATGGAGCTGTCACTTTACTGATCTCTTGTCGTCCTTCCATAATATTTTCATAACTTTCTCTTGGAAGTTTGTCTTTCCTTGTTCTAATAAAACCATCTTCTGATATTTCGTTTCCATTATCGTTTCTGTCTTCACTTCCATGAGTTGGTTTTCTTTTTGACGCTCCATTGACTGGAATTAAATCTGCATCACCTTGAATTAATAAACAATCAACTTCTGCATGGGATTTTGCTTCTGAATTGTCCTGTAAAGTGAAATCCTTGTTATGAGTCATGTATTGTGGAGACTTCTCATTATTGCAGCATGAACTTCTTTCGATGTTCGATGGCTTTATTTTGGTTCCTATATGCTCTAGCTTGGATTGAGAACCTATTTCGACATCTTGTGCTGAACCCATAAGATAGTTTTCCAATGATTTAGGCATATGGTTGAGATACAAATGATTCTGACTAGGTAGGTTTTCATCTACTCGACTGGGGTGACCCTGTAATTTACAGACATTATTAGGGTAATGATGACTTGAGCAAGAATTATTATGTCAGTTATTGATTCATCAATATCAATAATGTGGAAATACACAACTATCATAACCAAAGAAAACAAAACAAAAGAAAGAAAGGTTTAACAAAGAAAAGTGGGAAATTATAGGGAAAAGGGGAGATAAAGGAAGAGTACCTCACTTACAGGTTTTGTTTCTTGCTTATTATCTCTCCCAGGGCTGACACATTTTGCAAGCCCTTCAGACTGCAACTCAACAACCTCTTCACCGTCCGTTCTGTTTTTACTGAAATCCTCCAAAACCTCTTCTTTTCCTCTGTTTCTGTTTTCAACCAGAAACCGATCCTTCCCACTTCTATTTTCTTTGCAAACAAAATCTCCAAAACCATCATTTGTCTCAAACAAAGGAGATTCGTACACATAGCTTGAGAACCAGTTTCTGATGTCAATAGGCTCTAACAGATTAGGAAGCACAAACAGATCAATAACTTCATTTTCTTATATTCTTCACATAAAAAACCACATCTTACATTTTATTGCCAAGAAAACAAATGGAAGCAGAGAATACAGTTCAAAGATTCAATGCTTACATACATTTTCTCAGTAGCCCAACAATTCAACGAAGGGAAAAAACAATAACTTCAGAAATAAGTGAGACAAACCTGAAAGGAGCGAAGGTGACTCCAAAGGACCTGGAGTCTACAAGAAGAAAATTGTGTGAGACTATCGCGTATATTTGGGTTCTTGATAGAGAACAAGGGGAGAGACACAGATTATTTGTGAGTGTGAGGAAAACTATTCGCTTTTCATTGTAATGCACTTCTAGTTCTTTGTTTTAGTAGATTCAGGTTGGTAAAGGAGTGTAAATCCTTGTTTTCTATAATTGGTGATTGATCTTTATTTTTTCTTTCTCATTAGTTATATCCTGCAATCACTTCTAGATCTTGAGAATAAGGATTTACTGACTAGGTTGTTGAAATCTCTATAGGGAAAAGGAGAGATACAGAAATAGTACCTCACTTAAAGGCTGCCTTTCCTGCTCATTATCTCTCAAAGAGATGCTGCAATTTGCAAGCCCATCTGACTGTACCGTTTCACCAACAACCTCCTCGCTATCACTTCTGTTTATACTAAAATCCCCTAATTCCTTTTCTTTTTCCCCGTTTCTGTTTCCAACCAAAAAGCCATCCTTCTCATGTTTACTTTCTTTGCCAACAGAATCTCCAAAATCATCAGTTGTATCCAATGAAGGAGATTCATACACATAGCTTGAGAACCAGTTTCTGATGTCAGTGGGCTCTAACAGATGAGGAAACACAAACAGATCAATTACTTTGTTTTTTTTTTCAAATTGTTAACATTAAATGCCATATCTGCTGTTTGATTGCCAATGAACATTATTCAAAGACTGCATTACTTATGTTATCCATTTTCTCAGTAGCCAAACAATTCAATAAATTGGGCGGGAAAAAAAACTGTGGATATGAGTGATACAAACCTGAAGTGAACGAAGTTGATTCCGAAGAACCTGGAATCTGCAGCAAGAAAATTGTGTTAAATGCTTAAATGTGGGACATTGGTTTATCCCTTAGTACCATATTTCTTTATTGCTACTTTTAATTTACAATCTTAAAATCCAATTCAGAACCATATATTATATCTAGAAACTATGAACTCTTTTGATTGTGGTCCATATGAAATAGAACCCATGAAAGAAAAAAGGACAAGAAGCAAGGCTACCTTACTTAAACATTGGTTTTCATGCTCATTTCCAGAAGAGCTGCCAGATTCCACAACCCCATTTGAGATTTGCTTCTCATGGACAAAAGCTCCATCTTTATTTCCATTTCCCCAGAACCCAACTGAATTTTCTTCTTTTTCTTCTCTTTCGACTTCATCGATGCTGAAATCATCTAGAAACGACTTGGAATTCAGTGCAGGTGATTCATACTGGTATCTTGGGAGCCAGTTTTTCAGATCTGGAGGCCCTCCCATGGCTAAATAAAAAATGAAAGAGGATAAAATTTTTATCTTTCAGACACTTGAGAAAGATCAATACAAACCAGAAACGATGGAACAAGTGGGAAGAGGCCTTAATCTGCGAACCCAGAAAGAAAAAAAAAAAATTTAAGAAACAAAGTTTGTTGAAATTATGTTGCTTTTGTGTTGGTACTTGTGTTTAGGCGATGGCGCACAAGTTTGTCCCGCGTTTTATTTTCATTTGAATCTCCCGCCATTTATTAGCTATCATGCTGGCATGTCTAGTTGTGGAGCAAGGGACAATGGGCTATGCCCCCTCCAAAGTGACACTATTAGACCACTACCACCCGTGCAGGCCAGGACGGGCAGAAGGCCCCTCAGTTCCCGAAACCCAACTCCAGCGGTGAAGGCCAGCCTGGGCAAGAAGTGGGCTCTTTCAGCCTAGGCAAGCCCAAAGACAAGATTTTCCTGAGCTGCTGGTTGGGTTTGTTGATGTCGACATGACATTAGTGACTAATTTAAATACCCAAAAAATTTAAAAAAATACCAAAAAATTCAGAATTTTTATTATTATAAATACCTAGCCATGTTCTTCACTTCCCATACCAAAACTCCATACAAATTTCTCTCATTATATCTCATATAAATAATGTTTGTCTTTACTTACCATGACAATAGGTGGAAAAGCAAAGTAAAAAAGAGTAGGATAGTCACTATTCATATGAATAGTGTATGCCCTTACTTGCCCTTTGTCATGGCATCATGGGTGGAAGTCCTCTTATTCATAATCTATCCCCCAAAATTTTTATTGTTTCACACTATCCATGAAAAGAGGGTGCATTGAGCATTTTGACATAAAACTGATTACTTGTGATGATTTTTTTTTTTTTTTGGGTTGAGGATTTGAACTATTGTGACAGAAACAGTAAGTTCAAAGAGGTCTAGTTTAGTGTAAAGGAGTGACTTGCAAACCGATGGAACCCTTCTACTTTGTAGTTTACATTATCGGTTGTATTAAAAAAATATGTTAAAATTGATACTTGTTAATTTAGAAATTTAGAATTACCGTCTCCAAGATGACTTATACAGGTACCAAATTAATTTAGAGTTGTGATTTCCCCACTCCAATTTTATCTACTTACAATCCATTTTATAACTAAAAAAAAAAGTGTAAGTGGATAAAATTGGAGTGAGGAAATCATTACCCTTAATTTATGAGTTAATTGGTCAATAAAAACACAATTTCCTTTAATATATAGCACGATTTTTTTAAATCTACCATTCTTTTTTTATTCCCTTTTATCAATTCATTCCAACATAATATGTTGTCGTAGCAACTCATTCTAAAAGAGAGGAAGGGTCTTTCACTCGAGTTACTTATTCTATAGCCGTCCAGGTCTACAACTTTACATGTAGAAATTAAGGCTCCGTTTGGTTCCCGAAACGAATTTGATGGGAAATCATTTCCCATGTTATTTCCAAAGAAATGGTTGTCCTCTATTAACCAGAAAAAAACAGAGAAAAAAAAATGAAAACCAGAAAACCAGAGTATAAAATCGCTAACTGGTTAGTGCTTCAGCGTTCGCATATGGCATTCTCATTCTCAGCAGTATTGGACGTATGATTGTCCAGGTAGTGCTGATAAAGATCTGAAACGAAGCCCCAAATGGCCAGAACCATGGCCACTACTTTAATTCGGTCCATTTTGTCATGGAAGAAGATCACAGGTAGAACTGGAACCACAGGCAAACCTAAGTACCTACGACATTGGAGAAGAGGGAAGATGCCTCAAAAATCAACCCTACTCCGCAAATAGCAAACAGCTGCCACACTATATAGCTGACTATGTGAGGTTCATGATGTAAGAAACCTTGATTAAAACTCCCGCATCTATTTCTTTATACCCTTCCACTCTTCACTGACCAAAAGTCCTACCAAGATGGCAAAGCTTGCAACCAATGACTGACAGACTATCACGTCCATGACTGCTGTAAACGTTTCCTTTCTTATAACCTTTCTGAATGCAAGCTATGTTAGGGAAA